GATGCAGCCTCTCTCCCTTGGTGGGTTCCAAATTGATACTCAATCTCCCACCCTCCTGACCCAACAGCTAACATCTGTTAGGTTGGGAGGATCAGTCTAACTCAAAGTGTTTTCCATGAAGCAGTATGAGTTAGACCCGGGACCTACACCTCTGTCTGTACCTTCCAACTGGGGTGGGGAAGCTGAAGACCAAGTTGGTTTGGAGTCATTTTTATGCTCCTTTGACAAGCCAGAATTTGGATTAATCCTTGACACAAGTTACAGCAACCTATGCTCCTCAGTGGGGTCAGGGAGAATCCAGGGACTAGCTAAACTCAGCCAAACCCCTTTTCTACAAAACTAGTGCTGTCAGCTGGCCTCACAGGTACTAATAGGGCTGTTACAACATATCTGGTACACTGGAAGGTGATCTTACATTGGGAGAAACATTCATACTGATTGTTAAGCAAGATATGCTACATTGTGCTGCTGGGGTGGCTCAGATCATCAGGATCATGCCTGTAAATTGGGTCTATAAAACACTCTGACCCCAGGTGCAGTCAAGTGTAATTTGACAGAGGCATGCGTTTACACTGGCTTAAATTTACTGTGCAGTAAGAGGGAATAGGCCAGCATCTACCCGTGCAGCACATTATTGCTTTAGTCCCAAGTCAGTCCACACACACTGTGTTACTGTGCAGTAAGGCATCTACATGTGCGTTTCTAAGCAGTAACTACCTGGGCATAAATTTGATACCTGCATGATGCAGGTATCAGATTTACACTCGAGGCAGGGTAAGTTGCCGTATTTACTGCACTGTACAGGTGTGCACGTGTAGACGTTCTCCCATACTGAACAGTAATTTTGGTTACTGCGCAGTAAATTCACACATGTAGACGCTCTCACTCTCTTGGGATTCTCACACCTTCATGGTGCCCTTAGACTCCAAACCCCTGTCTGCCATCTGCTGCTTGATTACTGAACAGTCTGAGATGCTCCACAGGTCACCTCCCTGACTGATGGCACCTCAGCTTTACCCACCTCATCCAGGTCTTGCCAGCTTCTAGCAGAGTGTATTTTGCCAGCTAAAAGAATCACATCCTTGTCCAGTCATGTGCTCAGAAATGAGAGATCCTCCCCTTCCTTGGAAGAGGCCTGCCTGTGTGGTCAAATGTTCTGAAATCAGAGTTATCACCAACAATGAGTATGCTGTAAAAGATAATAAAGAGATTTATTATAAAAACAAGAACAAGCATAAGAAATCAGTAACCCTACTTTGAGAAATAAGCAGAGATGTAAAAATAAGCAAGCAAAGGAAATATCAGAACAATAATCTGATTTTACCCTGCATTCAAAACCTAAAAAAAATCTTCTGTCCAGCTCAACAGATCAGAAAGTAGCTCCTGCCTTTGACCTTCCTGACAGGGCTTCCTGAAAGTTCTCTTATGAGCCTGTTTCACTTAGCCCATTGGCTGAGGGCTTAAAGTCATTCCCTATGCCCAGGAGCAAACTAAAAACAAACACTGTCTCAAGGCAAAGCTTAAGTTTGATTTCTTATCTGTTCATTTAGAAACATCACCTCTTCTTGGGGAGCCCATAATATGCATATAACTTCCTGCCCCCCAAAGATGTATTTGTTTACTAAACCAGAAGTTTTTCCTGGGCTAATTATGACCAGGAAAATATGTATATCTTTTCACACAAAGATTACTAATCTTATATCCTGAAGATACTGTCTTTCATTTTATTTCTCCACTGTGATAAATATCCATCTTTGAAAACCTGTTCTCAGGTGTTATTCATACAAGTGTCTTCTTTTAAAATGTGAGCTCATTGTCTGAATGGCTAGGCTCAAGTACCTAGGACTACATCCACAAGGGTCTAATTGACTGGCGGATAAGCACTCCCATGGCAGATGCTAGTTTTCAGAGATTATTGTCCTACTAAATGCTGAATGCTACAATTCATACAGACATAATAACGATAAGGATAAATACAGATTAATGCTACCTATACATAGAGACTACACATGCCAGGTCAGTAAAACAAATTCAAGAAAACTTACATGACATTCCACAAATACTTCAAAATAGTGTAAGGTTCATGACAGGGTCCATAACATTTTTATTGAGAAATCAATATAAATATTGAGGTTTTACTCAGCATTTATATTCAAGACTGCCATTTTATGGACAATGATAATACTTCTTTAATTGTCAGCTTCCG